CGGATGCCCTATTTGAGAAACATCCGCGGGCCACATAAGCAATATTTTTGTGTCTCCCCTTCTCTTCCATAACATAACATTTAAGGGTTATTGAGGGAGCGGGGTAGGCCAGATAAAATAGAGGGAGTGGGGGCTAGGGGGCGGATGAAATCGGTCCGTGGGCCAGATGCGGCCCATGTGCCGCCAGTTGGATCACCCTGGCCTATATAATGATGCAAATTTGCAATGTTAAGATCACAATTCCCACAAACTGTTTCCCATGCATTTATATACAAATAACCTGCAACTCATGATGAATCCACTTCCTTTGTATGCAAATGTGTGTCAGTCAATGACAGTAAACTGCTGATAACTCATCACTCTGAGGGAAAAGGGCTAAGCGCTGAGTTATCAGGAGCGGCCAGTTAGGCGTATGTATACGTACATAAACAAATGCATCGGGGATATTGACAGTGTGATGACTTAAGTCAGGGTTGTCCAACCTTTTAGCTGCTGAGAGCCGGAGGCCGGAGTTCATAAACGTCCATGGGCCACGTAAGCAATATTTTATCCTTGATGGCCAGTGTCGTTGTCGGGCAGGCCTGAGCCCCTCGGTAACTGTGTCCCGATTGGCCAGTCATGTTGTCAGGTAGAGCCTGAGCCCCCGGTAACTGTCTCCTGATTGACCAGTCATGTTGTCGGGCAGAGCCTGAGCCCCCGGTAACTGTCTCCTGATTGGCCAGTCATGTTGTCAGGTAGAGCCTGAGCCCCGGTAACTGTCTCCTGATTGACCAGTCATGTTGTCGGGCAGGCCTGAGCCCCCCGGTAACTGTCTCCTGATTGACCAGTCATGTTGTCAGGTAGAGCCTGAGACCCCGGTAACTGTCTCCTGATTGGCCAGTCATGTTGTCAGGTACAGCCTGAGCCCCCCTCCGCCCGCCCCACCGTGACTGTCTCCTGATTGACCAGTCATGTTGTCAGGTAGAGCCTGAACCTCCCCCCCGTGACTTTCTCCTGATTGGCCAGTTATGCTGTCAGGTAGAGCCTGAGCGCCTGGTAACTGTCTCCTGATTGGCCAGTCATGTTGTCAGGTACAGCCTGAGCGCCGGTAACTGTCTCCTGATTGGCCAGTCATGTTGTCAGGTAGAGCCTGAGCGCCCGTAACTGTCTCCTGATTGGCCAGTCATGTTGTCAGGTACAGCTTGAGCCCCCGGTAACTGTCTCCTGATTGACTAGTCATGTTGTCAGGTAGAGCCTGAGCGCCCGGTAACTGTCTCCTGATTGGCCAGTCCTGTTGTCAGGTAGAGCCTGAGCCCCCCCCCCCGTAACTGTGTTCTGATTGGCCAGACATGTTGTCAGATACGGCCTGAGCCCCCCCGTGACTGTTTCCTGATTGGCCAGTCATGTTGTCAGGTAGAGCCCGAGCCCCCATCCCACCCAGTGACTGTCTCCTGATTGGCCAGCCCTGTTGTCAGGCAGCCCTTGAGCCCCGGTAACTGTCTCCTGATTGATCAGTCCTGTTGTCGGGCAGGCCCTGAGCCCCCGGTGACCGTCTCCTGATTGGTCAGTCCTGATATCGGCCAGGCCCTGAGCCCCCGTGACTGTCTCCTGATTCGTCAGTCCTGTTGTCGGGCAGACCCTGAGACGCCGGTGAATGTCTCCTGATTGGTCGGTCTTGTTGTCGGGCAGGCCCTGAGGCCCCGGCGATTGTCTCCTGATTGGCCAGTCCTTTTGCAGCAAGAGTCTGAGCCCCCCCACCGTGACTGTCTCCTGATTGGCCAGTCCTGTTGTCGGGGTGTCTGAGCGCCCCCCAGCCCCGGTAACCATCTCCCTAACTGGCCAGCCTCATTGTCAGGCAGAGACTGGTCTCCGGTTACCTTCTCCCTGTTGGCCAGCTCTGTTGTCGGGCAGAGACTGGGCCCTGGTAACCATCTCCTGATTGGCCAGCCCCGTTGCCGGGCAGAGACTGGGCCCTGGTAACCGTCTGCTGATTGGCTAGCCCTGTTGTCGGGCAGAGACTGGGCCCTGGTAACCCTCTCCTGATTGGCCAGCCCTGTTGTCGGGCAGAGACTGGGCCCTGGTAACCCTCTCCTGATTGGCCAGCCCTGTTGTCGGGCCGAGACTGGGCCCTGGTAACCCTCTCCTGATTGGCCAGCCCTGTTGTCGGGCCGAGACTGGGCCCTGGTAACCCTCTCCTGATTGGCCAGCCCTGTTGTCGGGCCGAGACTGGGCCCTGGTAACTGTCTCCTAATTGGCCAGCCCAGTTGTCAGGCAAAGTCTGGGCCCCAGTAACCATCTCCTGATTGGCTCGTGACCTGCCCATTGCATGTATTTGCTCGGCGGACCGTGAAGTTTGGAATGGTTTGTGGGCTATTTCTCTTTGATTAAATCACCCCCAGGCCGGAAGTGGACCGCAGGCTTCCAGTTGGACCACCCTGACTTATAAGTGGTAGTGATCTAACTTAATAATCCCTCCAAAAAAAATAATAATAATTTGGTCACTTAATCCATGACTGTTTGTGGGACACTGTTGTACGCAGTTTTGCCCACAAAACACTCACCGTCACTACACTTTACAGTATATTCTGTGAAGCGCTTTGAGACATCTGAACGACTTGATAGGGTTAAGACAAGGTCGAGTTATCAGGAGTTTACTGCACAAGCAACTTGCACGAGCAGCTGTGCAAACAAGAGTCAACGGTTTGTTTGCAAAGTTACGTTTGAAAATCAACAAATTATTGTGTAATCGCTGTAAGTTTCAATTGAGTGTGGAATATTTCAACGTTCTTGATGGATGTTTGCACACAAATACACAATGTCTTTGACTGTTGTGGCTCACACACTCTAAAAGGGGAAATGGAAAACAGAACTGAAAGTTTTTTGTTCACTTTCTCCTCTCAAGAGTTTGCAAGTCAAATTGCTTGTCACGTAATAAGCAAATAAGAGAGAGAGAGAAAGAAGGGGAGAGCAAGAGAGCAACTTCCTCCCTCTCAGAGACAGAGAGAATGTGAGTGAGAGAGACAGACAGATAGAGAGACCCAGAGAGTGACATGGAGAGCAAAAATTAAGAGTCAGAGAATTAGATAGAGATTAGACAGAGAGACACGGAGAGTGCGTGCAAGAGAGAAAGAGAGCGAGAGAGAGGAACAAATTAAGAGCGAGAGACCGAGAGGAAGAGAAAGTGAATGAGAGAAAGAGACACACACACACACACACACAGATAGCAAGAGAGAATCATGAAGAAAGAGATATGGAGAGAACAAAAGAGAGATAATAATAATCCTTGCATTTGATATCGCGCTTTATCACGTCGTTGAGACGTCTCAAAGCGCTTCACAGGATTATGCTGTAAAGTGGAGTTACTGTATTTTGTGGAGATGGAGAGAGCAAAGAGAGATGGAGACACAGAGAAAGAAAGAGGGGAAGGGCAAACAGAGCTGAATGCCATTAGTACAATGTTCCACTCATATTTCACATACTTTTAACTACTACACCTCATTGCCAAACAGGACTAATCTCTAAAAAGCACCCATTTCTGCCAAGTGCTTGGCTCCCACGCTCTGCCTCAGAGAGCACACACACACACCCTCCCTGTTTACAATATTCACATCAGATGTCCGCCTGGTTTGGCCGTTTGTGCTCTCACCTCCTGATCCAGGAGGGTAGAGGTTCAAGCCCCCACCGTGCCCGCCAATAGCGGCGGTGGTGGGGAGACATTAACCCATCTTCAGAGGTGCCGTCCTTTTCGCATGAGTCTTTAAACCGAGCTCCCCGTCTGTCTGCCTACCTTTTTTGGGTGGATGTTAAAGTTCTCCCGTGGCGCTGTCAGGGTGGGGTGGGAGGGTAGGGGGTGGGTACGGAGTTTGTCTCCTTGTGTCCTTGGCCGATGATCCTCCAGGTTAATCACCCGTTCACTCCCCCAGCTGTTTGCGGGACCTCACTGTGAGCCAAAATGGCCACCACGTTTGGTTCCAAAATACAGTCACTACACTGGACAGCGATTCCCCCCTCATGATGCTCAGTGAGACATTTGGTGTTGAACACTTATTATTCCAACACTTTCTCAGAAATCCCTTGAGCCTAAACTCTCGTCGACTGTTTCAAATGTTGGTATTTGGTTCCCTCTGGTGGAGGTGAGGATAACACAACTTTCATCCGATGACGTAATTCCGTGAAGGACTGAGCCTCTCTCAAAACCATTTCAAGACAGAGCGACGCACAAATCATCCATTTTGAAAGCCGTCTCCTTTCCTTTTCGGGAGTGCAAAACGCTGCAATCGCTCGTGAGCGGGGGTTGCGTTCAGTCGCTGGCTTTACGGCCGTGAGATAACAACGAGAAGCATTTGCATGGCGTCCCTGAAGCAGCGGAGCGTTCCCGGAGCGCTTTAGCGTCAGTCACGGCGCCGGAAGACCGATAAGACAGTCGAGCGAGAGGGCAAGTGCGCGTTGTCTTGATGTTTCGAACGCTGGCCGGATTGCAGGGTCTCCGGCTGTGGGTTGGCGTGTGAGGGGGGGGAACAAAGCTGATTCACCATTTGATAAGACATTTTGAGAATTCCCTCGGATTGTTCTCCCGTCTCGTTCACAGCAGCGTCTGGGAGATTCACCTATCATCCCTGGAGGGTTGGTGACCCTAAACCCCCCCCCCACCCCAACACCCCACCCACGTTTAAACCGCTCCCTTGCACCCTCGGGGTTTGTGAGCACTCGCTGCAAACAAAATGGCCGCCTCTTTGGGTTGAGACTGGATGGCCATCTCCCCCCGAGGCGTTTTCCACCGTACGGGACCCGGGTCTGGGTCTTTGTTGGGGGCGGGTTGGCGAAGGGCGCCATTTTTTGTGACTAACGATAATAAAGCTCTTCTTTTTCGCCCCCAATTCCCCCACATTCCACACCCCTCAAATGGACAACATGGCCACAGCTTTCCCGCCTCTGTCACTCCCTCACCACGTGATCTGGTGTTTACCCCCTCCCTCCCACGCTGCCGTGCGTGATGACGTCAACGCCACGCCCCCGGGAGGTTCGGCGCGGAGAGGAGCGGAGGAAGAAATGGCACAAGATGGCGGATGGCGTTGACCTGAAGGTGGGTCCTATGTGAGGAGACGGGAGCGGGGACGGCGGCGGCGACATGGCGGGCGGGGGGTGCTCGGGACCCGGGGCCGGGCTGCTGGTGTCGTGGGAGGGAGTACGGGCGCGGGTCTTCCCGGGGCGGGTGCGAGGAAGCGGCGCCGGACAGCGGCCCTCGGAGCCGCCTCAGCCTCAGCCACGACAACAGCGCCGCCTCCCGCCCGCCCGCCCGCCCACTCTCCCGCCCGCCCGCTCTCCCGCCCGCTCTCCCGCCCACTCTCCCGCCCACTCTCCCGCCCGCCCGCTGCCGCCAGCGTCTGGCAACAGCGCTCCTCCCGCGGGGGAGTCGGGTTCGAGACCCGGCAGGACCGGACTTTGCCAACTTTAATAAATGATATGTATATATGTATATTTGTAAAGAAATAATAGGAAATATAATCAAAAACAATGAACGTAATTTAAATAATGAATATAATTAATAATTACTTACGGCCATCAACAAATAATAACCCCCTCCCGGCGTTCGACCGGCGCCCGATCACGTCTTCGAGTCGCCTCAAAGCGCTTCACGGGACACGCCGTACAGCGTAGTGACTGTGTGTTTTGTGGACGAAATGAAATATCAATAACTTAATGTTATGTTGTTATTACATGATAAACGCCCTTAATCATTAATAACAAATCCATAACAATAACTTCTAACCATCGCTTTATATCAATAATAACTCAGTAATAACTTATAAATATCAATAACATAGTAGAACCTGAATAAATATCCTTAATCATTAATGATAACTATTAAATATCATTCAGTAATAACTATAATTACTAATAATTTTAACAACGCATTATTAATATTTTGCCATAATAATAATAATCCTCGGTATATATATAAAATAACAATCCTTATATTTGATATAGGGCCTTATCACGTCTTCGAGACGCCTCAAAGCGCTTCACAGAATAAAGTGAGTTGACTTTATTTTGTGGGTGAAACACGGCAACCAATTGCACAGCCAATCGACTAACAAGCGGGTGGTTCCTACTGACTGTGTGTATGCCTGTGCGTGTGTCTGTGGAGTAAGGAAACTTGCCTAAGGTGTGTGTCAAGTGTGAGATTGTAGCCTGATGTTTGAGATTGGCCTTGACGCCTTCTCACTCACTCACGCGCTCACTCAGTCTCTCTCTCTATCTCCCTCCCTCTCCTCCAGCACATGGTGACCAGCTTTCGAGTGACCGAGTTACAAGTGCTTCTGGGCTTCGCTGGTCGAAACAAGAGTGGGCGGAAACACGAGCTTCTGAGCAAAGTCTTTCAGATGCTGAAGTTTGGCTGCAGTCCAGCGGCACAGATGAAGATCAAAGAGTTGTACAGGCGCCGTTTCCCACGCAAGCCCGTGGCCCCGATGGATCTCTCGGTGCTGTCCGTGCAGCCGAATGAGAGACCCTCCTCCAGCACGGTGGGGCTGCCTCTGTCCTCGAGCTCCGTGTCTCAGCGTCACTATCATGTCTCGTCTGGCTCAGTCCCCCAGGCCTCCGGCTCGCTGCTCTCCCCCCGGGGCCTGCTGGTGCTGAAGAGGGAGGTGGACCTGTCTCAGCTCTCGCCCCCCCCCGCACACCCGGTCCATCCCGACGTCACCGTGAAGAGGCTGCCCTTCTACGACTTGTACGATGAGCTGATCAGGCCGACGACACTAGGTGAGGGGGAGAGGGGCGGGGGAGGGAGAGAAAGAGGGTGAAGTGAGGGAGAGAGGAGGAGGAGAGCGAGGGGGTGAGGGCGAGAGAGACGAGAGGGCGAGGAGGGGGAGAGGGGTGTCAAAGCAAGGGAAAGAGCTGGTGAGGCAAACGGGGCAGGCGAGGGAGAGGGAGTGGGTAAGGCGAGGGAAAGAGACGCTGTGAGGTGGTGGGAGGGGAGGGGCGGCAGACACGGGAAGGGGGAAATGATTACCTTTTTCAGACGTGTAACAAGTTCTCTCTCCTCTCCCCCAGCCTCCAGCAGTAGCCAGAGGTTCGAGGAGGCAAATGTCACGTTTGCACTGACTCCACAGCAGGTTCAGCAGATCTGCTCCTCCAGGTGAGACACTCACGTCCCCCTCCCCACCCTTTTGCTCCCCCCCCCTTGGAGGGCAAGCGGCCACTGATTGATTGGCGTTGTTTTGTTTCTTACAGAGACTTGTTACTGGGAGCGAAAGGTGACTACACAGTGCAGGTTCAGCTCAGGTAGGTCAGTGCCCACTGGCTGTCTGTGAGTGTGCGTCCAGGGGGTGTGTGAGTGTGCGTCCAGGGGTATGTGTGAGTGTCTGTGGTGTTAGCCCTATTATCAATTCTTACTCACCCTCTCTCATGCGCTCTCACTCTTTCCCTTACTCTCACACTCTCTCACCCTCTCTCTCTCACTCAGGTTCTGTTTGTGTGAGACCAGCTGTCCCCAGGAAGATTACTTTCCCCCCAACCTGTACGTGAAAGTGAACGGGAAGTTGTGTCCTTTACCTGTGAGTAGGTGTGGTGGTCGGGGGGGGGGGTGGTGGGGGAGAGAGAGAGATAGAAAAACTTCCTCCCCTTTTTCCAACTGAGATTGTTAACATCCACCTGAACAGGGCACAGACGGGGAGGGAGTTGGGTCTAATGTCTCGTCCAAAGGACGGAGTCTCTAACCAATGTTGGGCAAGTTTCCTTACTCCACGCACACGCGCACACACGCCTCTGTAAGTAGGTTGTTAGTCGATTGGCAGATCGCTTTTCGGGGGGGGGGGAGGGGCATTAATAATCCCTTCAAAACAAATTACATCAGTCACTTCAGTTCAGTTTGTGGGGACGTCGCTGGGCGCAATTGGCTGCTGCTTTTGGCCCACAAAACACACGCAGTCACTACACTTTTACAGTGTAATCCCGAGAAGTGCTTTGAGAGGCGTCTCGGAGGTGTGATAAGGCGCCGGGTCAAATGCAAGGATTCCTATTGACTCCTGAGGCGGAGCTGAGAGAGCGCAGGCTGGGGTGGGGTGGGGCCGGGAGAGTGACGCCTCCTCTTGCCCCCAGGGCTACCTGCCTCCCACCAAGAACGGGGTGGAGCCGAAAAGGCCGAGCCGAGCCATCAACATCACCTCCCTCGTCAAGATGACAGCCACCGTCCCCAACACCATCACAGTCAACTGGACCTCGGAGTACGGCAGGGTAAGGGTTAACACACCGCCTTGCAAGGCACGCTGAGGGTTAACACAGTGCTGTGTGTGTGTCATTGTCGCTCTGGCTCTTTCTGTCTATCTCTCCATCTCTGACTGTCTCTTGCTGTCTCCCTCCCTCCGTCTGCTCTTGCTCCGTCTCTCTCTCCCTCTGTCTGTATCTCACTCTGGCTCATTCTCTCTCCTTCTGTCTATATCTCTGACTCTTTCTCTCTGCTGGCTCTCTCTTATCTCTCTCTCTCTGCATCTCTCTCTCTCTCTCTCTCTCTCTCTCTCGGGCTTTCACAGTGGGTGACTGACGCCTGCTGTGCTTTCCCTTTACACAGAACTACTCGGTGTCCGTCTACCTGGTCAAACAGCTGACGTCAGCCACGTTACTGCAGAGACTGCGGGCCAAAGGCATTCGGAATCCAGACCACTCGCGGGCACTGAGTAAGAATCTGAGCTCACAAATCCTTTGGCAGAGACACACACACACACACACACACACAGCCTGGCACGACTGCCCACTGCTCCCTGTCATTCTCACTCACCCCCGATTCAGGAGGTTGTGGGTTCGATCCCCCAACCCCCCACATTGCCGTCCTTTTCGACGAGCGGTTAAACCTCACTCTCTCTCTTCCCCGTCCAGGGCGGACGCTGACTTGTGCCCGAGGAGTGGAGGTGGCAGTGGCTGTGGTACTGCAGTCCCTGAATGACAGAGTCCTCCTGACCAGGAGAGCAGCATATCTGCACAGCTTCCCCAACATCTGGGTCCCGCCAGGTAACAGCAAACACTCCCAGAGCCAGTCTGTCCGAACCGGCCTGCAGTCTGCTCTCTTTCACTCAGCTCCACTACCCGGCCTTATCTCTCCTTTACTCTGTCTGTAACCCTGACCCGGGAGTGCGGACGGACGCACAGTGTAGAGGGAGCGTTACTGTGTCTCTAACCCTGACCTGGGAGTGTGGACACACAGTGTAGAGCAGCGTTACTGTGTCTCTAACCCTGACCTGGGAGTGTGGACACACAGTGTAGAGGAGCGTTACTGTGTCTCTAACCCTGACCTGGGAGTGTGGACACACAGTGTAGAGGAGCTTTACTGTGTCTGTAACCCTGACCTGGGAGTGTGGACACACAGTAGAGGAGCGTTACTGTGTCTCTAACCCTGACCTGGAGTGTGGACACACAGTGTAGAGGAGCGTTACTGTGTCTCTAACCCTGACCTGGGAGTGTGGACACACAGTGTAGAGGAGCGTTACTGTGTCTCTAACCCTGACCTGGGAGTGTGGACACACAGTGTAGAGGGAGCGTTACTGTGTCTCTAACCCTGACCTGGGAGTGTGGACGGACGCGCAGTGTAGAGGAGCGTTACTGTGTCTCTAACCCTGACCTGGGAGTGTGGACGCAGTGTTTGATGTGCTCTCTTGTCTCTATCAGGTGGCCATGTGGAGCTGAATGAAGAGGTAAAGAGCAGTGAAGGCTGCGGAGGAGAGTGTAACCGCACACAGCGTCCGTCACACCGGCTCACACTAACACCCCCTCAGTCTGTCACTCTCCCTCAATCCCTCCGCCTCGCCCCCTCACTCCCCACCTTCAAGTCCCGCCTAAAGACCTTCCCATTTGATCGGCTTACGGTCACCTCCCTCCCCCCCTCCCTCGGGGTCAAACTCCGCCACTGTCGAGCGCTCCGGGGCGCTACCCCACGTGAGGGACGCTGTGTAAATGCAAGTTGTTGTTGTAGTTGCTGGAGGCGGGACTGCGGGAGCTGAAGGAGGAGACAGGACTGGAGCTGTTACCTGGAGAGTTCACAGTCAGCACACTGGGGCTCTGGGAGGTCAGTGTGTGTGTGTGTGACAGCCGGGTTATTGGTGTGCGTGTGTCTGTGCATGCGTGTGTCTGTGTGACAGCCAGGGTACTGGTGTGTGTGGGGGGAGAAGGGAAATGCAGCATCCCTTGTGCCCTCCCCCACACTTTGCTCGTTGCCAGACCCCAGAACCGTGTTGCCCTTCGAGCCATAACCCGACATGAAGGCGTGTGGGTGTGCGTGTGATTACCAGACGTGGCACCTGCAAACCTAAGTCTTGCCACAGGGCGGCAGCTCTGCTCCATCGTTCTCACACACTCCTCTCTCTCTCTCTCGGCTGCGAGACTCGGGGCTAAACTTGACACTAACCCTGACGGCTTGTGTTTTTCCACAGTCTGTGTACCCACCGAGGCTGAGCAGAGGGTTACCAGAGCGACACCACATTGTGGTTTATCTGCTGCTCCGATCCACCCAGAGACACGAACAACTGCAGGTCCGACAGCAATGATATTAATAATTATTAATAATAATAATCCTCGCGCCCTATCACGTCGACGAGACGTCTCAAAGCGCTTCACAGTCATTTCGCTTTGAGGCGTCTCGACGACACGGTAAGGCGCCGGGTCAAATGCAAGGATTATTATTGGTATTCTATACTGTTACGTGTAGTGACTGTATTTTGTGGACGAAATGCGGCAGCCGATTGCGCACAGCGACGGCCCCACAAACAGTCGTGGATTGCGTGACCAAATTGTTGTTATCTATTTATGAAGGGATTATTACCCCCAGAAAGTGATCCGCCAGTCGACTAACAAGCGGGTTCCAGCCCAACTCTCTTCCTCTCTCTCGGTCTCCCCCCCCTCTCTCTCGGTCTCTCCCCCCCCCCTCTCTCTCGGTCTCTCCCCCTCTCTCTCAGTCTCTCTCCTCTCTGGTTTGTCAGGCCCGGCTCCAGCCCTGTGAGGAGGAGGTCGGAGCCTGTGCCTGGCTGGAGCACCGACTGGTCGAGGCCATCGTAGCAACGCCCGACGGCAACACCTCCCCCGGCAGAGCCCGCACCGATCTCCCGGCCACACTGTGGTGAGTTGCCAGCAAAGCGCGGCTGAAAGCGCTTCCCACGTCTCGCGGTAAACGTGTAGTGACTGCGTGCTCTGCAGGCAGGCGATCTGTGCAGTGAGAGGTCACCGCAAACAGCCGCGAAAGCGGGGGAGGACAGGAACAAAGCCCCTCACGCGTCTCAGTTTTCCTCTCTCTCTCTCTCTCGCTCCTCAGGGTGAAGGTCTTCCGTGGTGACAAGCTACAGGACGCAGAGCTGCCTGTCTCCTCGCTGCTCAACCAGGAGCCTCGGGGTAGACATGACGTGGAGAGGGTGAGCTCTGGCACCAAGTTCGCTCTCCAGGTCTGGCTTAGTCTCTGCCGGGAGCAGCACACGTAGAGAGAGTCCCTACAGCAATGTCATCAACAGTCTCAAATTGTGACTGTTTTAAGGCCCGGGTCACCACCTGCGATGGCGGTAAGGTGTAACGAGAGAGAGAGAGAGAGAGACGGAGTGAGAGAGAGTGTAAGGGAGAACGAGTGAGTGAGGGTGCGAGAGAGGGAGGGAGGGGAGTGTGTGAGAGAGAGTGCAAGAGACTGAGAGAGGGAGGGAGTGTGAGAGACAGAGTGTGTTCTCAATGCTGGGGGGGTGGGGGTGAGCTAGCAGTGGAGCACAAGCTGTTTAACAGGAGCAATAGCCATCAGAGAGAGACGGGTTTGAGAGGGTGGGGAGGGAGGGGGGCAGGACTGGAGATGTTGTGGGGGGGGGGGGGGGAGAGAGCAACTGAGGATTGCAGAGGGACGATGGTGGGGGGAGAGACCAGACACAGTGCCACATTGTACCCAACAAATTAAAAACTAAATACATTCAAACCTTTCATTCATTTTAATGAGATTTGTACAATATTCTTATAAAACAGAATGAGCCGGAACTGTAAATACTCCCACCATTCACTGGCTCACTCCCCAAGAAACGGTGCAGGTTAGAGATATAGTAAAGTTCCCCCTACACTGTGTGTCCACACTCCCAGGTCAGGGTTAGAGACACAGTAACGCTCCTCTACACTGTGCGTCCACACTCCCAGGTCAGGGTTAGAGACACAGTAACGCTCCCTCTACACTGTGTGTCCACACTCCCAGGTCAGGGTTAGAGACACAGTAACGCTCCCTCTACACTGTGTGTCCACACTCCCAGGTCAGGGTTAGAGACACAGTAACGCTCCCTCTACACTGTGTGTCCACACTCCCAGGTCAGGGTTAGAGACACAGTAACGCTCCCTCTACACTGTGTGTCCACACTCCCAGGTCAGGGTTAGAGACACAGTAACGCTCCTCTACACTGTGCGTCCACACTCCCAGGTCAGGGTTAGAGACACAGTAAAGCTCCTCTACACTGTGTGTCCACACTCCCAGGTCAGGGTTACAGACACAGTAACGCTCCCTCTACACTGTGTGTCCACACTCCCAGGTCAGGGTTATTCACTCTACAGGAACCGATTGAAAAGGATTAAATATATAAATAGTCGGGCCGGGAGGAATCGGTGACTGTCCAGAAACAACAGTCTTTGAAATAGCTTTTTTTTTTGTTATAATATATAATTTTTTTTTAAAATGCTACAACTGAAAATATATCATTTTTAATTTTTTTTTACAAGAATCTCTTACAAAGGGGTTCTCTGTACCAAGAGGAGTACCGAATACAGGAGTACCTCCATTTACTCTCTCTCCCCCTCCCCCTCTCTCTCTCTCTCTCTCGCTCCCTCTCTCATCTCTGCTCACAGCAGGGTCTTGGTGATTGGGGGGCTGGCACTGAGATTGTACAATGAATATAGTTCTCTCCACCCCCTCCCCCCCACACTCACACACACACACTCACACTCGCTGTTAGACAGAGAAAGAAGCATAAAAAGAAAGCGTGCCACAAACAGTCGTGCATTGAGTGACCATATTTTTTTCGGGGGAGGAATTATTACCCCCATTCGACTAAGAAGCGGGTTCCTACTTACTGCTGGTAAACAGAGGCGAGTGTGTGTGTATGTGTGTCTGTGTGGGGTAAGGAAACTTGCCTAAGGTTTTGCCTTGTCCTGACCTGCCCGGAAATCGAATCGAACCCGGGTCCTCACGCTTTCGGGGCGAGTGCTCTAACCACTGAGCTACAGGCTTCTGAAAGGACGAGATCAAATGGGGCTGGGGAGGGGGGAAGGGGAGAGGGCGGGGAGGGGGAAGGGGAGTGGGCAGGTTGGGGGAAAATCAGAACAGCGAGTGAACAAAAACCACCCCAAAGTCCCAGACTGTAAAGTCAACCCCCAAATTCCCCCCTTTTTTGAGCTCGTAACAGGTTGGAAATGTCCCAAAGTGGCAGCAAGAGGGATCTGTTCGATCAGTCGTTGGGATATGGGTCAGTCACTACACACCATGTGAGGGACTCACTCCCCCCTCCCCCCCCCCCCTCAATTATCCTCACCTCAAGGCTTCGTTGGTGACAACTTATGACTAATAATAATTATGATAAAAAAAACACCTTTGGTATCAGTGAGGAAGTCACTGCAGTTTGTCCCCCATCGCCACCATTTCCCAGTCATTACTGTGATGTTCTGTGGATAAAGCTACCCCTTCTCCACTGGGGCTCTCTACTCTTACCCCATTCCCCCCTCTCTCCCCATGGTGTCTGTGCTGGTGCTCGCTCCCCCACTGGAGCTCTCTACTCTAACTCCCACCATTCCTTTGCTCCCTCCCACCCCAACGTAAACCCAGTGATGGGGAGGTCGAACCCACAGCCCCTGTGCTCTGCATGTCCTGGCTGCATTGCTCGCTATCGCCACCGAGTGATTGAGCAGGGAACAGGAGGGGAGACTGCAGTCTGGGAAGAGGAGCTATACAGGAGACTGAGCCATTTGCCCCTCCTAAATAACAAGACACTGTATTGTTCCAGTGCAGGTAGCACAGCCCTGCGCTCTCTCTCTCTCCACACCCCCCCAACCCCCAACCGTCCCCCCACGACAGTACGGCCTACATTGGGTGGGGGGGGAAAATAGGGGGCCTGGGACTCGCTCCACTCCCTCAGTCCAAAGAGATGATGTCCTGGATGGCTCCTCCGAGCGGCCTGGTGTGGGGGTCCCTGAGGCGAGCAGCGCCTGAGCTGTACGCACTGCTGGCCGCGATCAGCACCGGCTCCAGGAAGGAGCCCGAGGAGCTCAGCTGGAAAAACTGACTGAGGGGAGAGCGCAGGAGGTCCTGCTCCTCCTCCGAGTGGCTGATCACTGAGCTGCTGAGGTGCTGTGGAGCAGAGAAAACAGGGCACAGTTACTACAGTATACGGGGAGCTTTACTGTGTCTGTAACCCTGACCTGGGAGTGTGGACGGACGCACAGTGTAGAGGGAGCGTTACTGTGTCTGTAACCCTGACCTGGGAGTGCGGACGCAGTGTAGAGGGAGTGTTACTGTGTCTGTAACCCTGACCTGGGAGTGTGGAATCAATGAGGATAAATGACGTGAGAGTTGAGACATACCTGATTGTCTGCTTGTAGGAAGGAAAACAGCTCCAAGCCTGTGGGAGAGAAAGGGGGGAGGGGGGGGGACAATGATAGACTGGAGTCTTGTATTCAGACACCCCCTTCCCACTGCATTCCAGACACCCAAACCCCCATGATTAATCTCCCTCCCTCTCCGACCTGTTTACCCCCCACTCCACCACCTGCTGCCTCCGCTCGCCTGGCTCTGGCCTCCTGCTTGTCCCTCATCCCCTCCTCTCTACCACCGGCGGCCGTGCCTTCAACCACTACGCCCCAAAACTCTTTGTCGTTCCCTATCCGTACTGCTCCCTCCACCTTACCCCGTCTTCAAGTTACTTGCTGTTACAGCGCTTCGTCTGCCCCACGTGACGGGCACTGTGCAAACGCCAGCTGTTGTTGACTGACCCCACCCCTTCCCTTCTCCCCCCCCCCCCAGCAATCACCCACCTTGTATGTCGGAGGGCAGGGTGGGTATCTGGTAGGCCGGGTGGTATTCGGGGATGGTGAGGGAAGACAGGTAGTCAGCGCTGACCGAGGTGACGGGTGGCCGGCGAAGCACTGACGATGGCTCGTGGTGAAGGTTCACGACCCTGGTGGTGTTCAGAGGTCAGATCAGTCACACACGCTCACCCCGGGGGTCAGGAGGTCCTGGGTTTGAGGTCCCTCCCCTCCCCACATCCCTCCTCCCATCCACGCCCTCAGCACCTCCCCCACCCTCACTCTCCCCTCTCAATCCTCTCCCCTGTCCCCCCACCCCCTCACCCCCCCCATCACCCTCCGACATCCCCCAACCTCTCCCCCTCACGTGACGAGGTGGGTGAGACTCACTGTTTGCTGAGAGCTGAGGGCACCAGGCTGGCAGTGACCGGGCACAGCTTCTTGAGTGGCGGCTTCTCATCCTCGTCCTCGTCGGAGGAGCTGTCCAGCGTCAGGTCGATCACCTCCGAGCTCTTGTTGCTCTTTGAGAAGTACCGACGGTCCCCGAGAGAACGTTTGTACACAACACCAGTTCCTGGGCCAAACACAGCGTTTGTTACACACAGTGTGTGGGTGTGTATACACACACAGAGTGTAAGGGTGAGGGGCAGAGCCAGACCTACCATCAGTGCGGGTGTAGGAGGCTGCGCAGAATTCCTTCTCCCTCTTGGGTTGCATCGGACACCAGGAGCCGTCGTCCTTAAACTGGATCTCGTCACAGTGAGTGCAGGAACTGAGGATCTCCATGAACAGCCTGGAGCAGGAGACAGACAGACAGAGACGGAGGGTGAGTGAGTGAGTGACCAGACGTGACAGCAGCTAATCCTTGCCTTATTCTTGCCATCCTCGTAACAGCAACACAACCCGTCCTTCAGCACTTTGCACTTCGCCAGCGCCTCCCACAGTTTCGCTGCAAAGCGTAGGGGTTATCGCGCTCGTCTCGCAAGCCAGAGGACCCAGGTTCGGTTCCTGGGCGGGTCAGGACCTGGCAAAACCTTAGGCAAGTTTCCTTACTCCCCACACACACACACACAGAGCAGCCAGGCCGGGGAGTGGAGAGGCGATGTTGGGGGGTAGGGGGAAGAGAGCTTAATCCGGGGTGGAATTCCTTTCTCTTTCTCTCCCCCCCCACCCCACCCCACCGCTTCCAGAAGTGCAGCGAAGATCTGTGCCCACTTACCCGTCGATGATGAGGCTGTCGTACGGTGCCCTCTTGTCGCACGCGGGGCACACCCAGGTCGGCTTCTTCTCGTTCATCTGCAGGTACAGGCCCGCGTCGAAACACTGCAGGTGTGAGCAGCTGGTCGCCCGGCAGGGAATGGAGAGACGCATCTTCCCCAGCTGCCGAGATAAGGTAAGATTGTAAGGGGGCGAGGGGTGGGGAGTCAGGGGGGCAGGACGGGGGCAGGAGAGCGCTCAGTGCCTTGAGAAATCTCCAGAGACTTGGGATGTCCTCGCAATGTGAAACGCGCTATGCAAATGTAAGTTGTTGTTGTTGACGGGGGGGGGGGGTGGGGGTCAGGGAGGGCAGAACAGGGCAAGACAGGGCTCGGGGGGTGGGGGAGGGACTTGACAGGGATCGGGCAGGAGAAAGGAGCCGGAGGTTCTGCTCTCACCAGTGTGTGTGTGTGTGTGTCAGGCGGGTGGGGAGAGGGCAGGCTCAGCGTGTTCACTCACACGAGCAAAGGGGGTGACTCGGGGGATGGGGGTGTAACAGAGAGCAGCCAGGCCAGGGAGTGGAGAGGGGATGTTGGGGGCGGGGGGGGGGAGAGAGCTTAATCCGGGCAAATTAGACTGACTCACCGGACACGTGAGGGAAACCCGAAGGCTTGTGGTGGCGATCTCGCTGTCTGGGTCTGCTGTCAGCTTCTCTTTAACTGTGACGCACAATATTAGCAATACTATTAATAACTCTCAGCAATATTGTCTCAAAGCGCTTCACAGGATTCACTGCAAAGTGTAGTGACTGTACGTTTCGCGGGCGAAGGCGGTAGCCCGGTCTGCGCACAGCCACGTGCCCGCAAGCAGCCGTGAAGCGAGTCAGCGGTTTTATCTGTCGGACGGGACACCAGGAGAGAGAGAAAGCCCCTTCTCATCCCCCGCCCCCCCCCACC